GTGTAAATCAATAAGGAGAGTATTGTAATTATCCATCAAAGATGATGGTAGCTCGGTCCAAGGGGATGGGGAAAAAATGGACAGATTACCAATATATTTAGACAAATAAATAGGACTTGATTTGGGGAATGACAGAAAGGAAAACAATTCTTCCGAGCCTCAAGTCTTCATCTGTAAAACAGGACTGTTGATATTCCATCTGTATAATATCTATCTTGCAATCTGCTGTGGTAAGAATATGAGATAATATAAATATCATGAACTTAATGCAGAGCCTGACATGTAATAAATGATATATTCTTAAAAATCGCTATTGCTATTATTATTTTCATCCCATGGAATGGCAACTACCAGAGGCTGAACCCCGAAAGGAGATAGTAGAATCGTAGTTAAATTTTCATATCCGCTGTGCTGAAGACGTAGAGCCCATCAGCCGGCCACTGAGCCAACTGTTCCAAATAAACACACCTGAGCGCACAGGTACTTCACCTAAACTTGATCTCAGTCCTCAGAGAGAAAGCACAGCTGGTACAATCACAGTTATCTGAGAGTCCGGTAAACCGAGGCACGAGGGTAGCTACAAACTTACCCAAGGAATTAGGTGCAGAAGCAGAACTAGTAAATGAGTGTCTTCTCATTTGTGAGTTGATCCAAAGGGACTAGGCCTGCATCCGGAGCAGCACGAATTTATAACCCCAGTGTCTCTGGCTCCCTTGCTGACAAGGCCCTTTCGTGCCTTGGCTTAAGCCCGTGCGTCCGCTCGCATCCAGCCAAACCCTTCTGGTTCCCTGCCCCGAGTTCCCAGTGCACGAAAGATCCCCGACTCCGGAGAGCCCCACATACCTTAGCTTCGCGTTCTCGTTCCTCGGCGGTCGGGGTCCGCTTCATGCTGCCGCTACAGCCTCCTTCGCCACGGCTACCCTTGTAGATCCCTCGCTCTGGACCCCGCCTCCTGCGTGTAGTTCTCTCGGCATCCTGCTTCCGTCCAGTGCCATTCTCCCCCAGAGCCGCGAGAACTACCACTCCCAGGATGCACGGCGGCGACGTGGCGCGCTAGACTTTCCCAGGTCCGACAACTGGCCGAGCGTAGCCTGCTACGCAGCGAGCAGGCGGGCTGGGCCCCGAAGAAAACTACATTTCCCAGCTGCCCACGGGGCCTGCCATGTTTTTCCCGTGCTTCCCTCGGCCAGCCGCGGATACGCCGTCGGCGCTATAGCAACGGTTAACTAGCGGCAGGGAGAGAGTGGCGGTGAGTACTCTGGGGGGAGTCGAGGGGGATGGAGGTGGCCCACCCACTACCTGCAGCACCGGCCGGGGTCCTGGGGACTGCTCTACTGCCTGGAGAAGGCCCTGGAGTTCTGCTCTCGTGAAAAAGTAGCCCAGCACGAGACCCCTCCACACCCTCAGGCCTGAATCACAGCCGACCCGGTACCCCCACGGCCGGCGCCGGCGTGAGACTTTATATCCCAGACCTAAACCCTGGCTGGTGAGAGTTGATGCTGATTTCAATGTTTGTCCAAGTCCTTATTCAAGCAGAAAGTGATATAAACACAGCTCGCTTATTTGACCTGGGTTAGGGATTGGTTGGTACACCCTTAAACCTCCTGAATTGCCTGCTGTTTGCTTAATTATTTGTAATGATCTGTTGATCGTCTTATTATCCCATAGTCTAATAACTACATAAAGGCGGGGTCTTTGTTTACCATTTCAGTCTCCCTGCCAGATATTCATTTATTCAATAAATATTAATGTTGGTGCCCACATTGTGCCAGGCAGAGTTCCCTACCAGCTGTGAACAGGACAGAAACCCATCTCAGGGTGCTTATTTATACGTTATTAGCAAAGACAAACTAGTAATGAACAAATAAAATAATTTCAAGTAGAGATGATTGCTATAACAAATAAACAGTGATGAAATTGGGAGGAAAAGTAACATAATCAGGGAAGGCCTCTCTGAGGAAGTGATATTTGAGCTGAGCCCCAAAGTAGGAGCCAGCAAAAGCCTTGAGCAAGACAAGGATGCTGTGGCTTTGATGAACCTAAAAGACAACAGTGTGGTTGCAGAATAGTGAGCAAAGAGGGATAGCATGAGGTGGGTTTCTCACCCTCATTAACATTTTTGGCCAGATAATCCCTCATTGTGGTTCCAGTGCCCTGTGGGATGTTTAGCATCCTCTCTGACTTCTAGATGCTAGTAACACCCCCCCTTCCCAGTAGTGACTATCAAAACTATAATGAGACAACTGCTTCTGAGAGGTGTGACCTCAGGCAGGTTACTTAAACTATGTCTCAGTTTCTTCATTTGTAAAGTAGGACTCATTTGAGGAACAAACGCTCAAGGATATTGTGAGATATTTAAGTATTTCATGTATGTAGAGCACTTAGAAAAGTGCCTGGCACATTTGAGTATGCAGTAAATGTTAACACCATCATCATCGTTATTGTTACTATTATAAAAGCTACCATAACTCTGTCATGGAAAAATTACCCTTTTTACAAGTGTCCTGTGTTTAAACTTCTTGAGAATTTGGTTCCTAAAATTGACTGTTTCTGTAGCATCGTTTCCAAAAGAAGATGACCACCCAGGCATATGTCTGTGAGCTGTTTATGTCACAGCAAAATGCAGTAGTTCTCAACCTTTGATGAGTTACAGTAAAAGTTATTAACCCTCTCTAAAAGGTATTGCATATACATATGGGCATATAAGATTTTGTAAACCATCTCTGGGTCCACAGACCCTGATGCCCCATAGACTCTATTCATTCATTTAACAACTATTGAGTGAATGCCTGCTATGTGCCCAGCTCTGTGCCAGTCTCTAAGAATACAGAGGTGAACAAGACACATAAGCTTGCTACTCTCTTGGACTTCGCATTCTAGGACCAACATTCTAGAGATTGAGAACCTCTGTCTCAGGGCATCTTAATTGGCAGTTTGCATTTGGCTTGCTGGGTAGATCAAAATGAAAACAAAAAAGAAAAAGAATTTTTAATTGACATACTAGACATTGCATGAACCACTCACATCCATATGCAAAAACTGTCCTGCATCTCTGTAAATAAGAGAAATTATCTAAAAATGCCAGAATTAGCTGGACATCCTGTATGTTGAATTGGGAAGTCCTGATACTTAGGCCTCATGGCAACAAAGGCAGGACACAACAAAAATGAAGCCAGTTGGTGAATTTATAAAACCTCTTTCACAACTCTTAGAAGAACTACTCACTTGTTTGTGCACCAAGCTGAAAATTAATATTCAAGTAATATTGACCTCCCAGGCAAATCTACTAAATGCTTTTAATGTACCATCTCACATACCCTTATAATCATTGTGAGATAGGTATTATTTTTTTCCATTTTTAAATTAAGGAACTAAAACTCAATGAGATTAGGTGACTTGACCAGCTAGTAAGTAACATAACAATCATTTGAATCAAGTTCCTAACTTGAGTTTTTTCTGCTTCCTTTTGGAAGCAGAAAAGGGGTAGGAGGTAGAGAGGAGGTATTTCTTAAATTTGGGTGAGTTTCCCCCCCCACCCCCACCCCAGAGGATAAGAAAAAGAGAAAAGGAAGAATGATAATCTTACCTCATTTCCTAAGCAAACTATAGGAAATATACTGTTGAAAGGAACACTGTCTCCAAGATTGAATGTAGTATTACTTTTAAAATAGAAGCTTTCATCTTCCTCAAGCTGCACATGTGGGCAATAAGATGTCCATTAAAGTTCTAGTGCCTTATTCATTTTATTTGGTTCATTCCGTTGCATAGTTAATGTTATAACTTGGAAAGATTTTATTTGAATTTTCTTTTCTCCACAGATAGGCCATGTCTGGTCCGGCCGATGAGACTGCAGGAGACCTGCCTGTGAAAGATATAGGTCTAAACCTCTGTGGAATGGGAGGGTTACAAGGTATGGCCAGCTGTTATTTATTACAGTTATGAACTTTGATCAGTAACTTCTTTACTTTTAATTTAAAGTATTTTTGATATTCATACAAACGAAGCCATTTAAGTAACTATATAGCTCTTGATTGGACTAAACAAGAAGATGGAGTGTTTAGAACAACATATGGCATTTTACTGCATGCATCAATTATCAACAGCTCATAGAAAATGTAAAATCTCCCTCTGTTCTGATAAAGAATTGTTATAAATCATCTTTTTAAAATTCCACACATCAGTAGAAACTACAGAGAGTATCAAGCCTCCAAACCGAATTGCCTGGCTTAAATCACATTCACCATTAAAATGTTTCTTTATGTTTAAATTTTATGTGGGAGGAAATGCCATATTTAAAATTTTTTGTCTTTCAAGTAGAGTATCTCAAAATGGTTTGTTTATTCAAGGGATATTGAGTTTGTTTTATCAAATTAATATACATTAAAGGTTTTCTTTATCCTTTTATATCTTAGCGGTTGCTATAGAGCTGAAAAGCACTTTCAAATTGAGAAAGAAAAGCACCTCATTAAGGAATCATTTAGAGGGTAGAGCTAGCTATATTTTTATTTGCCTGTGCTATGTGCTGGCCACACTGTCATGCCAACGCATTTGTCATTGAGAAGGCTGTGGTGTAAAATGTATTCCACTAAGACATCTTCGTACACCTGCTAATCAGGAATGATGCGAGTAGCCACCTTGAACTGCCACAGAAAGGTGGTCAGTGTATTGTTTGTTGAAAAAGATAAATTTGTATAGCTTTATGTTAAAAGTATGTATAAGCTTTGATTTAGATTTTTGGCAGAATATCAGGAATGCAAATACAAATACATTTTAAGTGTGCAGAGTTCTTTATTGGGATTCGATACCCTAAGTTTAATTCTTCCCCTCAGTAAATAAAGCTTTAATCTTGGTTCATTTGTTCTTTTTTTTCTTTTGGAGGATTTTTGAAAATCTACCTACTTCACAGTGATATGAAAAATACCAAATTTAAGCTTAAGTAAAAAATATCATGCACTTGCTAAAAGGTATAAAAGTTCTTTAATAAGCTGTGAAGCTTTTTTTTTTTTTTTAGTTTGGTCTTACAAATTCTACAGTTTATTTTCTATTACTCAACACTCATAGCTCAGAAAAAATCTCAGCCATATTGTTTCGCCAAATTATTCACAGTGATATGAAAAATACCAAATTTAAGCTTAAGTAAAAAATATCATGCACTTGCTAAAAGGTATAAAAGTTCTTTAATAAGCTGTGAAGCTTTTTTTTTTTTTTTAGTTTGGTCTTACAAATTCTACAGTTTATTTTCTATTACTCAACACTCATAGCTCAGAAAAAATCTCAGTCATATTGTTTCGCCAAATTGTTGTTATAACTCTTGCCTTTGCAAAAAAAAAAATACTTTCCGATAGGCAGACTTTTAGTTTTTTCAACAGTCAGCATGTAAATTGAAAAAAGTTTTTATTGAATCAGAGTGCCAGCTTACATTCTTAAAGAGCAGTTATTTGAATTTATTTTTGAGTAGATACCATCTTTGTTCAAATCGTTCATGTTGTAGATAAAGCATTAATAGTAAAGTTTTTCATTTTCACCTCCAATGTGAACAATGCTATAACATGTTCTAAAGCAATCTTAATTGTAGGTCACAAAGGAAAAAGTCTGAGATGAGTGCATCAGACTTTATATAAATATCAACAATTATCATTTTTAGAGACTATTCGAAGTAACCCCACCATTAATTACCTTGCCATTTTTGCAGAAACTTCAACAACACGGACAGTGAAGTCACGCCAGGCAGTGTCACGTATCAGTCGTGAGGAACTGGAAGACAGATTTTTGCGTCTGCACGATGAGAACATTTTGCTTAAACAGCATGCCCGCAAGCAAGAGGATAAAATTAAAAGGTTATGATAAAAAGCTTTTAGCTTTTTTCCCTGACTCTGTAAAGTTTGGAAGATATGCTTTTTTATAAACTTAATTGAAAGCCCCACCTTGAATCTTTTTTTGGAACGAGGCAGGTTGTA